CTTGAAGTAAGATTTTCAAATTTTGAAACCTTGAAATTATTAATTTAGTTTGATTGTTTTAATCAAATCGGAAAAAATGTATAGTTTCTGAAGCAAGCAATTCAATTACTGACATCTTGATACAATTCAATTTGGTTTTGATAGCTCTCATTTTCTAAAATCAAAACGAAAACGAGTAACTTGTAAAGGTTTCGAAACTAATCTAAGCAGCCTTGTTTGAAGTTCCTTCATTAAGCAGCAATCTTAAAAATCTATCTGTAAATTTCTTTGATCGAACCACTCTTTTGACGATTTTCAAGGTCTTTAAAAATGCGTACGCAAATACCCAATGAAAAACCGAAACAATGATTTAATAACAAAGAAATAGAAAAGCATGCATTTAATCCTACGCCGTTTTATTTCGCTCGGAAGTTGACAGCAACTCGAATTGCGGCGCTGCCGGAGGAGGTGCAAGGAAAAAATCGTGTAGAGGCGGAGCAGACCCTCTAGTCAAATCTTATCTTTGCCTGGGGGAGCGGGGTCATGATGAGCTCCACAATCGGAAGCCCCACTTGGACTTGGCAACGACGAGATATCTCAGTGTGCTGGATGAGTTCGAGAGCGTTTTCAGAAAGGAAAGGAACGAGACGTTCGAAACCTATCAATTATTGTCTAGAAAACAGAGGGACGGGGAGACGTTAGAAATGTTTCATTCAGAACTAAGCGGACTAGCGGCAAGTTGCGAACTGGGAACGCTAGAGCGAAGGATTCTACAGGACTTATTTATATGTGTCGAATAAGGAGGCGCAAACGGAACTCTGTCGATCTACTAAGACTCCGGATGAAGTTAACCAGATTGCACTATCGAACGAGCGAGGGGATAACTACGCCAAAACTTACAACGTTTCCGGTGGAGGACTCGCTACGGCGCCGGCGCTTCAGATAAAAACGGAACCGGTGAGAGCGATTCGCGGTGGTTACCGACGCCCATATCATCGGGGTGGCAGAGGAGCCCTCAGAGAAAACAATCGAGATGTGCCCGGCGAAAAAATGTTTCTTGCCATTTCTGTAGAAAAACCGGACACTACAAGCGAACATGTCGAGGCATGTGGAGATCCTCAACAGGACCAGGACGAGAACGCATCGCACTACGGAAGCTCGGTCGGATGGTTGAACGATCCAAATGAAGCAGTCCACCGCTGGGACTCAGATAGTTCGAATGACTACATTGTTATGTCGATCAAACTGAGAAAGGAAGATTGTTGAAAGTAGCGGGTGCGAAATTAGCATTGAAAACTAATGGACATTCCACGCAGCGCAGGCCCGGATCGACAGCGGATCGCCTATATCCATTTTCACCATCAGAGAACTAAAACGTACCTTAGGGAAGCAGAACGTGCAGCTCCAGTCCATAGATCCGAAGGACGACCAAGTCAGGGATTATGGAAATAACCCCTTGAAGATGATGGGGACCCTTCACTCCAATGGATGGACAACTCAGCTAGAAATCAATGCAATTGGGGGCTGTCGACCATCAATCATCGGTAGAGCCTGCGCAACTCCAAGGTGTCATGGACACGATAGTCTCAGACTTTCCCTCTGTGCACGCTTCCATTGACGATATCTTAATAACTAAAGGTTCCGAGATCGAGCATATCGCGTTGGTCAAGAAAATCCTGAAAAAGTGGATAAAGAAAATATAGCGCTGCAAATGGAGAAATAAAAGTTCACAAGAAAAGAATGTAAATGGTTAGGTCACCGAATCACGACCGAAGAGGCGCTAAGGTAGTCCAATCCATTACTGGGTGTCAATTGAGTGAGTTAGAAATTCTTAAGAAGTTTAATACACTTTTATTACGACATCCAGATATCACGAGCGGGAGCAGTAGCGAAATTGAGGTGGCGGATGCGCGATTGGAGGCGATGACAACGGGATTGAGTGACGTCAAACGTAACACTGTAACTTCAATTCCATTAGCGTTTGGAGGGAAGATATTTCCACCGGCTTACCCAGCGAACGTAGTGATGTCGGTCATCTCACGGGATTGTAAAAAGGTTCGCAAAAGTGACACCCGGCCCGAACTCTTTAGCCTAAAGTTAACCCAGGCCCCAAATGAGGGGTTTAAGGTGGAGGCAAAAGACCCTCATCTGGACCGGAAAGTCCGAGCGATTGGAGCATATCTCGGCTAACACACGCACGATTTTTACATCAAAAAGAATTGTTTGCGGGTGGACGAACGGCTAGTCATGCCTATGACCCTTAAGACTGCGGTGGTCAATAGCATTCAGCTTCCACCACGGACGAATGTTTGACGCAGCACTGGACGTGTGGTTTCCGTACCTCCCCCGGAGTTTGGTGGCCGCCGCCGACGGATGCCAAGAGTGTACCGCTGCAGGTAAAAGTCTGAAACCAACGTGCGCTAAAGGCGACATTGGCAAAATTTATGAACCTAAGGAGCCGAACGAATGCTTACAATTAGATTTTTGGGGCCCTATTGAATATTTAAATGAATCGGACAAACACGTTCTAGTCGCGGTGGACCGGTTTTCACGATGAGCGTCGGCTATGATATTTAATAACAAAAGCGATAAGGTTCTAAACTTTCTGAAAAACTACATTTCCCACGATGGAGAGTCAAGGAAAACTTACATGGATCCAGGGTCTATTTTTACGCCAAAAGAAATAAAATCGTTTTGTAATACCGAGGGAATACAAATCACTTACTCGCAAGTAAAACGATCATTGAGCCACCGGCTGCGTAGAACGCACGATAGGTAGTTGAAATAATTTTGTTTTGGCCTATGCGAAAGAAAAAGATCGCGAAAATCTAGATTCAATGGTAATACGCGCACTTAGCGCCATCAGATTTGTACCAGATACTACACTAAAAATCACGTCCTTCGAGGCACACTACGGCCGGGAGGACAACACGGTCTTAAGGAACATCACGAAAAAACCGTCGCTACAAAACCTTCACTGGGCGAAAGTGTGGAAACAAAAATCTGCATGTTTAGATACTGAAGATCCACGCACTAATCGAATGCCCCACCCAACAGACCAATTTGTACGAGTACGATGTTGAACAGAAGGTTGGCGGACGACCAGCTGGTCAGTAGATCTGGAGACTCTCAAGACGCCAAAGGGGCGAGCAAGGGCATTGTCTCCAAAGGCGCCAGGAACCTTAAAACTGAAGACCTGTCGAATAGACAGCGGACGGAGCTAGTGTTCCAACGGATTAAAGACCGAAATCGAAGGTACAAACTGTTAAATAAGAAAGTCGTTAAAGAATCTAAACATTTCTTGACTCTAGAAAATGGGTCTTCGCTTAGGAAAAGCGGTGTGGCGGAAAAAGCTAACCGGGCGCTGAAAAAGCTATTGCTTAAGGGGAAGTATTTGAAGCCTCCTACAGTTGAGGATGTTAGGCGAAAGCTGAACAAAGAACGCCTTCCTCAGTCCAAGACCACACGTTCTAAAAGCCAGCCACGATCAAAATCACAAAACTGGGACGATGATGATGATTCAGATTCAACCTTTGAATACGAGCCGTTACGATTGGCCGGTAAAAAGGCGGCGGAACAGCAAGCGACGGAAGCGACCTGACCAATCTCAAGCGGTGGTTCCCCATATTTTGGCCAAAAAAACGCCGATGGAGAAGAACAATGCCGCGGACAATAGCATAGTAAAGGGAGCGAATAAATGCGACGCGGTAATTACGGAAAGAGCGAATAGTGCCCCAAACGTAGCGAAGAGGGAGCGACTAGGAGCGCGAATGGATCGAAGAAGTAGGCTGGACGACCTAGGAAGCAGCAACTGGTGCCATATTCCAGCCAAGACTCGGATGAAACGGGGTCGCAGAAAAGTTCGAGGAAGCGAACGGCGGTGACGAAACTCGGTGGAGTGATAATCGATAGTATCTTCAAGGAGGGGCAAAAGAAGGGGGAAAGAGCGAGAGAACGGGATACCAACTAAGTTCGGACGTGCCATCGGATATCGGCGGAACTAAAACTCGGAACCAAAACTGTTAAACTTTATGCCCAGAGAGAGGGCGGACCGCTGGTCTAAAACTCAACCCAATTACTGTTTTGGTGTAACTTTAATTTTAAAACAAAAATTAGTAAACTCAAGGGAATGACATATATATACACTTCATATGATGAATAGTTTTGAGTTAGTTGAGTTTGTTTATTGGCGCCATCGGTGCGTGCTGTCTGGAATCCTGGATTGATTTACTTAAGTACCTGCCAGTTTGATATTGAGAGTGTGTGCTAGCTAACACAGTTATGCATTGATTTGAAGTTGGAGCCTTATTTATTCAGAATTGAAGTATCGACTTTTTTCACAAACCACCCTAGAAAAAAATTTGTCTTACACCTAATTAAGTCCTTGTATGTATTTATATTTTTATAACCCTATAAATTTGAACTACAACTCAGATCGATAACGATCTAAATCACAGACGGTGAGCTTTACAAAGTTGAAAAAGATTACTAAGAGGAAAAAGATGAGTTTCGCCATGGTGGGTTTGGGCATGAACCTAAGATCACACTTTACAATGGCATGTAGGATACAATAAAACCATTCTTATATGATGTGTAGACAGTTAAAGCAAAGAACCAAAAATGAACTGGAGGGTAGCGAGAATCTCCCCAATGGAGTGGGACGGCGACCAGCACGAGCTCTCACCCGAGAGAACACGGAAACTAAATGAAAAGAGAGTGGCACCCAAAATCAACAAACGTACGTTGATTTAGGCCAAGAGTGCCGGAAAAGCCACGAAATTAGATTTAATTATAATTCAAGCAATCAAGTGATTTTGTTAAACAAAAAGTAAACCTGAAAAAGTCTGAACTCGCTACTTCGCACACTCAAAACTGTTTTCAATGAGCAACGCCTTTCTCTTTTGAGCAGCCTGAAGCCATTATTCGTAGTTTTTCATTCAAGTCCTAAGCACATGCCAGCTTCAAAAAATTCACCAAAAAAACTGATAGGTCCCAAACCTCGTTTAACCAAAAAAAAAAAATTAAAAATCATCCCTTAAATTCACTCTTAAATTCATCCAGTAAATCCAGACAATACTAGCAAGGCCAACACGATTTAAACAGCCTTTACAGATTCGCTAAAACTCAGAATGGATTGAGAAACCAAATCAGCAAAAAAAGTTTTACTGGGTTCGGCAACCTCGAATTTTTCTAAATACAATAATTCTAATTCGATCAATCGTTTTGGCTATTCTGGTAACTATTGTAACTTCGAAAAAAAATCTATTGGGCTAGTCGTTCAGTTTTTAGAGCTTTGATATAATTTATTTCAGGTATTGAAAATGCCTCTTGCGCGCCATGTAATGCCTTTTAATGAGAATATTTTGCTCTAGCTCATGCATCAACATCCTGTAGGTTTTGGACGGTTAGTCAATCCGTCTTCTTACTCAGAGCTTCTTTCGCCGCATCAATTCCCTTCAGACGATCCAGTATCGGTGGGTGACTATAATAAAACGTAGAATATAACCAGTCGCTGTAAGGGAATCCTAGGTTGTCAACTTGGAGCTGAATGAGTGCTGATTTGAGTTTCGTGCTTCCGTCATCTAATTTTCCTTCCAGTTCCAGTTTCACAGCGTATTCGTCAGCTTGGAACTCAAATCTTCTGGACAAGAGAGTCATGGCGAAGGAGAGAATCATTTCGTAGGGTCCAAAAATGAACTGGAAGATGATGAAGAGGCCGATCAAAATGGGCATGGAATTGTGAAAGCCAAATGCCTAAAAACACAAAACCAATCAAAGTATAGTTAATGCCAAATTGTTGGCAATATCGGTGACCTTGAACAATTTAATCGATCAAAAAAACTGCATTTCAGGTTAATTAGGTTTCAGGAAGCGGTTTTTACGTGTGGAGATCAAAGAGAAACTAAAATCCCACTTCGTTTTAAGTTATTTAACATCATTCAGATTCGTTCACCGAAAAGCTTTGCCAACAATTTGGCACTAACTATACAATAAACACAGGTGAAAAACGCCATAACTATGAACGTCCAGTTGGAATACGATATCGACAAAGAACTCAAGCTGAAAGAATTCTTCCATATCTTGTCACTGGAACAAGAATTTGCAACATTTTTTGATAAACCAAATTGCTTTATCAGCGCCCAGAACGTAAATTATCAATATATATTACGTTCAAACACATATTTTCATCCCATATAGGCGAAGCAGGCTTTAGCACCACTTACGAATCAATGAGCTAAAGTTTATATCAAAGAAATAATTCCAGCAATGAAAAATTGTTGCAATTTCCAGATAGTTCCCAAAATTTTCATTTCCCGAATTTCTTTTTTTGCCAAAATTTTCATTTCTTCAATTTTTTTTGCCAAAAAGCAGAAACGGTTGGTTTTTTAGCAAACATAGTCTGCGGAGAGTTGTAAAGGTCATTTTTCCTTCTCCAAAGTTCAATCGATTTTTTTTTACATCTGATTATTTTTTCATCGCGGAGAGTAAGTTTCTTCTATCTGGTAAGAAAGTTTGGTTGTGAACTTAAAAAAAAACGATAAAAATCCAAACACCAAGAACATACACTTGAATAACTATTAAGAATTTCCTGAAAAACCGAAAAAATCACTCGAGTTAAATAGGTAACTTCATTTCACATTTAAAAAAAATTTACCTGAAAAACAAATTTTCGAAAAAAAAATCCTTGCTGCGATACAGAGCCGACATAAATAGACAGACTATCATCAAAACTAGCCGAAAAAATTCAGTTTGCAAAAAAAAAAACAGGTGTCGACTAGAATCGAACTCCCGGCTTTTGTCGTCTCAAACATGGGTGTTACAATAAATTGGAGGAAAGCTAATCCTTCAAAAAACGTGGTGCTACGAGAACTGAGCTGACAAAATTAAACAGACGGACGATTGTCCGAAAAAGTGCAAAAACTCTAGTTTGCAAAAAAAACGGTCCCGGTCGGATTTGAACTACAAGCTTTTGCCGTCTCGAGCAGTTCTGTAACCTCTACGCCAGATGCTCCAGATCGTTGAATGAATTATTTATACTTATCAGGCGGTAACAAAGACGAAAAACCTGAGCAGAAACCGTTCATGCCGAAAAAATCCAAAACGCATATATTACCCCTTCCCTTAAGAACACACACAAACACGCACACAAACTTTTTTCAGTCACTTAGTCGATATGAAATTAGCCGAATGTTATTAAGCCCCTAAAATTACCACCAACATAAAAAACTACCTTCGATTAGACCGGAGAAGCCAATAACAATGAATTTATTGTAATGCAAGTTTTCAAAAGCATTTTGGTAACCTGAAAAATTCCATATGATGATTTGATAACGCTTGCAGCTGTAGTTGTTCAAAGAATCAAAAAATCCCGAAGAAAATGTTTTCAATTTTGTTACTATTTAGCTAGAAGTAAGCCATAGCTAATGCACAAAAATACAAAAAAAAATTTTTAAAGCATCCTTTGCGCAACTTGTACAGTAACCGCAATTTTCAGTTCTTCTTTCACATTATTTCAGGAATGCTGCTGGAAATCAAAAAACGTTTTGAACTTACCATATCGAAACACAGAGGCGAAATTTCGCTTTGCAAACACCAGCACGAACACGAGAAAAAAGCAGGTCTAAAAAGTGTAGTAGGAAAAAGTTGAAATAAACCTCAAATTAGCAAAAAAAAATCAGCTATATCTGAGATTCGAACCTGTGACCTAGAGATTAAGGTTCTCACACCCTGACCACTCAGCCACGAAAACGTATTAAGTAATAGCTAATTACTAGTCACATATAAAGCAGAGAACATATGCTATGCAATTTCCAATGCTACAGTGAAATTTCTAAATAAGGGAACATTTTTATTTGCGAGCTAATTTAGAAAAAAAAGAAGGTTCGTAATAACACATTATGCAGATCGCAAGTGTAATCCCAACGGATCATTAAAAAAAAACGATATATATGACTTCAGTTTAATTTGGCGCAGAAACTTTAATAGCCTAGAAAGTATAGTAACCTGATAAATCTCTGGCTTCTGGTAGAGATATGCGAATACGGCGAAACATAGGAATGTGTTGATGGCGGATATAAGGAAGTTCTTGGGTATGTGCCACATTTTCCAGTGGCCCAGTTCATGACCCAACACAGCTAAGACTTCCTCATCAGTGCAGCCCTTTCGCTTCTTTTCATTTGTCGTCTTCTTTTCGCCCGATGTAGTCGGCTGCTCTGCTTCCTTGTTCTCGTCCTGATTAACCAAAAGCGGTAGAAATGCATTTATTTTTTTAAATGTTTTCCTGTGCACCCACAAATCAGTGAAGGCGAAATAGAAATAAATTAACAAAAATCTTAAATAACGGCCAATTTTCAACTATTTTACAAAAGCGTTCAAAATGCAGTTTCCCTCCAAACATGTAATGTCTGATCTCGGAAGTCAAAAAAAAAAATCATACAACCTTATTTAAAATGCACAAAGCATTCAATTGATGTGAATATATTAGTAACTACTAAAGAGTTAAATGAATAGAAATTCTTCATTCAACGTACCTGATTTTCCCCTGCCTTATCTTTCTTCTCTTCGTCGACTTTGTTGTCAGGATGCAGGCCCACCATGAGTGTGTCGAACAGAACTATTCGCTTCTTAATTAGTCCCACGAAGTACGCGTTACTGTGAGACGACCTCTTGGAACCTAAATGTATCAGTAGCTTAATTTATGTTACTAGTTTTTGCATAAAACACTTCCCCTGCCTAATACAAACAAAAAATAAACAATTTAGATGTACGAGTAATTTTATCAAACTTGTAGAAAATTTCAAAGGCCAGGCTGAAGGAATGAAAATTTTTCAAGATAAAACAAAAGACAAATTGTCATCTCGTTGGAAATAGTTTTAAAATTGTCTTCTTGAACTTGAAAACAAAAAATATGATAAAATATGATCTATTGAATAACCTTCAACGACAAACAACTCCGCCAACGGAAATTGCACTGAAGACGCCAGCTTCTCAATGGCTGTTTTGAGTGGACCCTCCTCCATTGGTGTGAACTTGTCAAATAAGGGCGCAATGTAAGACGGATAAACTGTGATCAAGACAATCGATACAGCAAGTGTGAACAGCCACGCGTAAACGAAGAAGTATGGTCCTCCAATTTTTATGATCCAAATCAGAAGAGCCAAAAGCGGCATCGCGATTAATTGCATCACAATGAACTTCTTGATAGTATCTTTGACGAAGAAACCAGGCGTTTGTTTGTTGAAATTGTGACGTGCTTCCAGCACAAATGTTGAATAAATTGACCAGGGTAGACCTAGACAAAGCATAAATTTAAATTTCTTACGCAGAGGCGAAGCGGAGCGTCGCAGCACTGGCGATACAAAAAACACATTGCGCTACAAAATAGTGAATGATAAAAAAAGAATGAAGTCAAAAAAAATTCGGAAAAACAAAATTACTTCAAAAAATTACTTGACAAAAGTTGTAAGATTACAGATACAAAAACTTTATTCTTGTATCGGATGAAGTTCATAAACAGCCCTTAAAAATGGAAATCATTTAGCGAGCGTTAACAAGGGCGACAAACATTGGGTCGAAACCTGTTGAGACGAAAACAAATCTGTTGTCATAAAAAACTTCATAAAATTTGAAAGTTTTTACGACCCATCCAAACCGAAATACATAAACCCAAACGGATACATTTTGCCCTCGAAATTACGCAAAATAAGTTGACTAAGTCGATATAAACTAAAACTGTTTGAAAATTTGAAAAAAAAACACGAAAAAAAAACTCAAAATCAGACATGGTAAATTTACAAATTTGTGAAGTTTCAGTTATAGTTAAAAAAAAAATGTTTAAATTGGCAAAAAAACCACGCTTTAAAAAGTGAATCAATAAAAACCCAGCCAGATAAAAACATAGCGTTCAAAAAAAACGGAAAATGAACCGACAGAAACTAAGACGAAAACAGTGAACACGAAAAAATTGAGATTTTTTTGAAAAGATAATTACAACCAGAAACGGACTTGAACTAATTACTACTTAAATGATAAAAGTGAAAGTGAAGATCCTACTAAAAAAATGAAGATCATCTAGAGATACTCTAGAAGTGGTTCTTTGAACAAGGTTGTTAACGGGAAAAAAAAGTCCAGTACCCGGTTGCAATACCCTTGCTTATTGCAAGGGTAACAAACTTTAACAGAAGACTTTAACATATATTTCGAAAAGAAAAAAGATAGCCAGTTGCTGTTCAAGTAACACAGAGAAAATTTCGACCAAACTGATATTTCTCTAAATTCACAGTATTATCTTCGTTAGAAAAAGCCATTATTTCAGACAAATGCATAAAAAATTGGTTACTACATTGATATTAAACTTTACATTCGAAGCTAAGCCTCATCAAATTTCTTCTTATTTTGTCGGAAAAGCGAAAAAAAATCAGACCACAGTTTCTCTCGACACAGTAATTTTCTGAACTTTTTTAGAAACCCAATCACGCTCAAAAGGGCTTTAACGTCGTACCAAATTTCACTTTCTATGAGCTTGTAGTAGACGGATAAACTAAACTCAAAACCTGTTATTAATCCGAAGACGGAAAAGAAGAATACGAAGATCAGAGATTGGAAAATTTCGCTGTCTTTTATCCAGTCTAGAGGTACTTTATTGAGAATATCACCACTTCGGTCCCACGCCCAAGGAAGTGCAAACAGAAGCAGAATGATATTAGTCTCCACTTCACTATACAAACTCTGCCAAAATCCAAAAGTCATTTTGTCCAAAGAGTACCTCCTTGTTTTATTCATCGTTTCCTCATCTAGTACATGTGATAAAGGTTCTGGAACTGTAGTTTTATTCAACACTACTCTTCTTTGTCGCCAAGTTAGGTATTCATCCCAAATAAAGACTGCCCATTTGAAGAGAACTACGGCAATGAATAACGGACTATAATCTGGAATTTCCATTAGGCGCCTGAAAATATGACAAACGAAAAATTTGAATGAAGATTTTTTTATTAATTAACTGTCGTCCGACATTTGATTTAACTGCTCCATATTTATGAAATCTAATTTATGCATCTGTTTTTACTTGTTTTAGCACGATCTCGTTGAAGGTCTGATCAGAATAGAAGGAACTTTAACAAACCAAACAAACTAGGCTTCAGAACCAGTTGGGTACTCGTTCAGAACTATCCTATTGTTGTTTTGGATTCCCGGTATTATTGCAGAGCATGTTCATCCCTTTTTTTTCACGTTTGTTAGAAGATTTTCGATATGTTACGAGAACTTGCACAATCGCAGCATAGCTTCCATGTATGTAACATTCGACCCCGAAGTGCATACCGACAGAAAGTCAAGCTAGATTCTGATACGATTGGCTAGCGTCTAAAAAGAGCCTTACGTACTTTTAACCGTCTCTGCCATAGCCAGTTTAATGTGGTTCTCATAACATCGGGTCGACAAAATCATTACAGCTTGAAGGCTATCGGCCGAACCACTCAAACTAACTTGGTTACAGAATGCGTTAAAACTGTAAATTCAAACAAACGTTTTCGCACAGTTTTGTGCATCTTCAGGTTTTGAAAATCTTAACTGTCTGAACCAGCTGATCAAAGATCATAAAAAGTGTCATTCCCGTAACTATTTCAAACAAATTTAACCAATCACAACTTCGCAATTATTGTAACAGTCTCCTACTTAAGTCACATATGGTGTAACATTCGCCCGGAAGATACATATCGACGGAGAACAAAACTAAGTCCTAAGACGACTGGCTAACGTCTAAACAGAGCTTTGCATGCTTTTCACCGTCTCTACCAAGCCAGTACTTTCGGTGGTCTTTTCTAACATCGGGTCGACAAAAAACGTTACTGCTTTCGGCTTCGGTCAAAACACTCAAATTAACTTAATTACATGTAAAAATAGTGAGCTCATGGTTGGGTCTCAGTATCCCCAGACCACGAGGTCACTCCTAAAAACAAGGCAACTACTACTTATTGAATTATTATTGTTTTTGTTCAGTAGATAAAAATCATCATCTCCATCGAAGATGGATCAACCCTTTCCCCCAACTCCTAGCTTCTCATCCTTATCAAAATTAATCCAGTTGTTAATTAAATTCAATTCAGGACATGACAGGAAGCTAAAAGTTTATATAAAAGGATAAAAGTTTCAGTCCCGAAACCCTTTCGGATTCTTGAATCCACTGAATCAAGCACGTTAAACTTGATTCCTCCGTAACCCGGAAGGCTGTCTTCCTTCCTTCACCGTTGTTCGCAACGGCCTTGCAACTATTGTAGCGACACAATAGTTGCAACTCGGAACGTTCTCTGTTAACTCCGTGATTCGTTGTCGTTCCTTAATCACAATTTCCGCTGTTCTCGCAATCGCAACTAATGTTGTTCTGTTGCTTTTTAGCTCTTCTGCCAAAATGGCCGTTTCTGACGTTTCTCAGAAATGTTACGTCATCACTTCGAAAATTTAAAATTTCAAAATACCAGAATATCTTGACCTTCACCGTTCTACTAATCATCCGAATAACGTCGTTAATCCTTCAAAATCACTAATTCGGAAGGTCCGCTGCTAAAAATTCGAAATCTGCAGAGATTGCATTTTGTCCATTCTGGTCGAATGTCACATACTCCCCGGACATTCCGGTCAATGTCCTCATTGAATCACACAATGTTCGTAAAATAGATACAGTGTCATCGAACAGAATTTACAACATGCACGAAATTACTTTTATCCACGTCACATCGACTCACTGCAGAATATAAATGGCGTCATACCACATCACTATAGCCTTCAAATTCTTTCATTAATCTGCACATTGAGGATATGACCTAAGATAAAACATATTTTCCGACTTCCAATGTCAATGTCCCGATTAAAACTTTTTCTCCTAGATTTAAAAGGTGTTGGTTTGCAGGACAGTCCTGCCAACCAACAAGCTAAAATTATCCTACTATGCTTCTTCCCTTCGGAAATCTTGCTTGTTATTGTCCTGAATATTAAAACTAAGAAACTCTGTGGTTAGAAAGAACAATGAAACAATCTCCCTCTTCGAGAGATCACCCAAGCCTTCCATGTCACCACAAAGTGATCAGTTCTCCTAGCTGATTAAAAACAGTCATAAAGGCTGGAATATTAAAATATACTCCTTCACTCAAGCCTTTCTAAATAAATAGTAAGTGAGTGTCTCTAAAGCCACTCAATTAAAATCAAAATGCAAATTTATAAATGCAACAATTTCAAAACTCAACTAAATGTTTCAGTTTTCAATTAAAACTTGGTTGCTTGGTCTCTCACTTGAGTTTTTTCACACACATAAAACAATTCTGAATTTTAACTTTCTCTTCATCACTCCTTTGTTTTCTTCTTTTTTCGTCGTTTAGAAGTTCTAAAACTTCTAAATTCTTCTAATGTCGTCTCTTTTTGCATCTTGTTTTTCGGTCATTCGTCAATGTTCCATTTCTTCCTCCTGTGACACTGACTCTGCACTCTCAGTTTCCGTATCCTGCAACACGTCGTTAGCTATCCTGACGCTGTTGGAAGCCGTCCTCCAACACTTCTGCTCTTCTACCCTTTGTACCACATTAGGTTCTCTGTTCCTGCAGAAGCTGTTGTGGAGACACAACGTCACCTTTCTCTCCAAATCTTCCTTTAACATCTCTGCCTTCTCCTTTCCACTACGTTCACTCGTCCTGGAAATTCTTTTCCCAGCGGTGGTCACTGCATTCCGATTAGTCACGAGAGCTCGCTTGAAAGCTCCTGCTCCAATGACCAGCTGATATTCACTGTACACCCTGCCGCGCTTCGACATATGCTTTTTCGCATATTCGTACAACCATGCAGTCATGTTAGCTCTGAACCATGGCATCAATCGTTTCCTTGCCCATATCTTCTTCCTTTCCATAGGAATGTTTAGAATTTTGCACATTGTCTCAAAAAGATCTAAATCTTTTAGACAATCCAATTTCCGCAACTGTTCTCTCGTTGGCGCTTCCTGTCTATTGTTTTCTCTTACGTGAGCTTCCAGCCATCGTATCGCCATCATAACTCCCACTATCACTATTGTTATGGGCTGTGATGAGTCTGGTAAACCCATGGAGAGCAGCTCTCCAGAGTCCCAGATCAACATCAGATTACTACGCTTGGGATACCACCAGGTCTGCAGCAAGCAGTGGCAAGGAAACTCGTCATGTGTCAACATGATGCTCCTCCACTTACGTTTTCCCGAAGCTTCCATTAATGGTTCCACTTCCATCATCACTCGGTGGACTTCATCATTCTCGTCTACTGTATTGTAATCTGTGACAGTTGATCCTCTCTGTTTCTGTCTCTCAAAGTCACTGAAGTTCCCGCTCACGTATCCCATAAACTTCTTTCCTAGTATTGATTTCAATTCTTCCTTGGTTCTCTCTGGAACTGCTGAGAACATCTTACATAGCAACTCGTAAGATTTCTCGGACATTCTCGCCAGTCTCACACACTTCGGCACTGAGAAGGCTTGATCCACGATCGTTCTCGTACTCTATACGTCCACAGCTACAAAATGTACAGGGTATCTGCTCTTGCACATTGGAGCCAATGTCGAACCCACCAAATATCGTGCTCCTGATGGTCTACAATAAGTCTCACTGTGTCTGATGTTCATTTCCGTCTCGATTGCTTCCCTCCATTTTCCTATGTATTTCTGCTCAGTCTGCAGAACTCCTGGGAATACTTCTACACTGATGGCTGTGACCATCTCATGTTTCTGTTCTAGATTCAATAGTGACTCTAAAGAACCAAACATGCTGTAGAATCCTATTGCAGTCACTAGATTCACCTCGGTTCCTCCATGACAATCTGCTATCAGTTCCGTTTCTGTTCTTGCTTTCATCACTACGTTTCCAAACAATACCGTCAATTGCTTGTGTTGTTTCTCCAGGGTCTTCACACAGTCCAGACCTCCACAAACGTGACCCTCTTGTCCACAGACTTCCGTCAGACAGCTACCAGGTTTGACCCAGTCTTCTGGTCCCCAGCCAGGCAACTCCACTTTATCTTCTCCGTTGCTCCTAGAGGTCGTTATCATCACATTATATATGATGTTGAGGTCACGCAGGTTACAGTCTGCATTCAGTTCCCTCTGCACGTCTTGTGTCGCTCGCAATATCGAGTCAGCGTTGGGACTAGGACACCATGATGGCCTCATCAATTCCCACACTGCCATCCATCTCGTTCTCAGTAACTCATCTGAGAACCACAACCCAAACTCCACTCTTTTATCAGATTTTGGTACTGAAGGTGCAGTCACCTCTTCTTCCAAGACCAGTCCCAATTTGGCCTGTGGATTGTTAACGCTTTTAATCGTTACAATTCTGGACGTCCAGAATCTTAGCAACACCGCCTGCTCGTAATCGAAGAAGCAATCGCGTATGTCTTCACTCAGGAAAGGGTTGTACGCTATCCCTATGATCCCGGATACGTAGCTATACGATTTCTTCTTGATCGGTCCACAGTATTCACTGGATTTCGGCAATGCCCCCATAGATTCTTTAGCGAGTCTCAGCTCCTTGTTTGAGAGTCTCCTGATTTCGTCTATCTTTCTCATGGGTTCTAATTCCTCGGGTTCTTTCATGTTCACCCTCATCGGTTTACTTTGCTGCATATCCAGCACTGCTAGCAAGAATAAGGCTTTCGCTCGCTCATCGCCTTCCCTCAACATCTTAACACAAGTGTTCAATGCAGGTACTGAAATCTGCTCTATCAGGAATCGAATGAAACAGAGAGCGTCTCTCCGCTTCGCACACGCTACTGCTGCTCCCTCTTGGACTATCAGATCCCTCGGGTTCGTCATAAGGAAAACCTTCTCCTCTTTTGACCTCTTCCTTTCTTCTGAATCATATTCTTCGCGAGTCAATCCCATCATGCACCAGGCGAACCTGAGTTGTAACTCTGTTCTTACGTAAGGTACTGCCACG